CGTGTTGTTGTTGCGTGTGCTTAGCGTGTGTGAACTGTGTTAATCGTGTTGTTGTTGTTGTTGTGTGTGCTTAGCGTGTGTGAAGTGTGTTAATCGTGTTGTTGTTGTTGCGTGTGCTTAGCGTGTGTGAACTGTGTTAATCGTGTTGTTGTTGTTGCGTGTTGTTGTTGCGTGTGCTTAGCGTGTGTGAACTGTGTTAATCGTGTTGTTGTTGTTGCGTGTTGTTGTTGCGTGTGCTTAGCGTGTGTGAACTGTGTTAATCGTGTTGTTGTTGTTGCGTGTGCTTAGCGTGTGTGAAGTGTGTTAATCGTGTTGTTGTTGTTGCGTGTGCTTAGCGTGTGTGAACTGTGTTAATCGTGTTGTTGTTGTTGCGTGTTGTTGTTGCGTGTGCTTAGCGTGTGTGAACTGTGTTAATCGTGTTGTTGTTGTTGCGTGTTGTTGTTGCGTGTGCTTAGCGTGTGTGAAGTGTGTTAATCGTGTTGTTGCGTGTGCTTAGCGTGTGTGAACTGTGTTAATCGTGTTGTTGTTGTTGTTGCGTGTGCTTAGCGTGTGTGAAGTGTGTTAATCGTGTTGTTGTTGCGTGTTGTTGTTGCGTGTGCTTAGCGTGTGTGAAGTGTGTTAATCATGTTGTTGTTGCGTGTGCTTAGCGTGTGTGAACTGTGTTAATCGTGTTGTTGCGTGTTGTTGTTGCGTGTGCTTAGCGTGTGTGAACTGTGTTAATCGTGTTGTTGCGTGTTGTTGTTGCGTGTGCTTAGCGTGTGTGAAGTGTGTTAATCATGTTGTTGTTGCGTGTGCTTAGCGTGTGTGAAGTGTGTTAATCGTGTTGTTGCGTGTGCTTAGCGTGTGTGAACTGTGTTGATCGTGTTGTTGTTGCGTGTGCTTAGCGTGTGTGAAGTGTGTTAATCGTGTTGTTGCGTGTGCTTAGCGTGTGTGAACTGTGTTAATCGTGTTGTTGTTGTTGCGTGTGCTTAGCGTGTGTGAACTGTGTTAATCGTGTTGTTGTTGTTGCGTGTTGTTGTTGCGTGTGCTTAGCGTGTGTGAAGTGTGTTAATCGTGTTGTTGCGTGTGCTTAGCGTGTGTGAACTGTGTTAATCGTGTTGTTGTTGTTGTTGCGTGTGCTTAGCGTGTGTGAAGTGTGTTAATCGTGTTGTTGTTGTTGCGTGTGCTTAGCGTGTGTGAACTGTGTTAATCGTGTTGTTGTTGCGTGTTGTTGTTGCGTGTGCTTAGCGTGTGTGAAGTGTGTTAATCATGTTGTTGTTGCGTGTGCTTAGCGTGTGTGAACTGTGTTAATCGTGTTGTTGCGTGTTGTTGTTGCGTGTGCTTAGCGTGTGTGAACTGTGTTAATCGTGTTGTTGCGTGTTGTTGTTGCGTGTGCTTAGCGTGTGTGAAGTGTGTTAATCATGTTGTTGTTGCGTGTGCTTAGTGTGTGTGAAGTGTGTTAATCGTGTTGTTGCGTGTGCTTAGCGTGTGTGAACTGTGTTGATCGTGTTGTTGTTGCGTGTGCTTAGCGTGTGTGAAGTGTGTTAATCGTGTTGTTGCGTGTGCTTAGCGTGTGTGAAGTGTGTTAATCGTGTTGTTGTTGTTGCGTGTGCTTAGCGTGTGTGAACTGTGTTAATCGTGTTGTTGTTGTTGCGTGTTGTTGCGTGTGCTTAGCGTGTGTGAAGTGTGTTAATCATGTTGTTGTTGCGTGTGCTTAGCGTGTGTGAACTGTGTTAATCGTGTTGTTGCGTGTTGTTGTTGCGTGTGCTTAGCGTGTGTGAACTGTGTTAATCGTGTTGTTGCGTGTTGTTGTTGCGTGTGCTTAGCGTGTGTGAAGTGTGTTAATCATGTTGTTGTTGCGTGTGCTTAGCGTGTGTGAAGTGTGTTAATCGTGTTGTTGCGTGTGCTTAGCGTGTGTGAACTGTGTTGATCGTGTTGTTGTTGTTGCGTGTTGTTGTTGCGTGTGCTTAGCGTGTGTGAACTGTGTTAATCGTGTTGTTGTTGTTGCGTGTTGTTGTTGCGTGTGCTTAGCGTGTGTGAAGTGTGTTAATCGTGTTGTTGCGTGTGCTTAGCGTGTGTGAACTGTGTTAATCGTGTTGTTGTTGTTGCGTGTGCTTAGCGTGTGTGAAGTGTGTTAATCGTGTTGTTGTTGTTGCGTGTGCTTAGCGTGTGTGAACTGTGTTAATCGTGTTGTTGTTGTTGCGTGTTGTTGTTGCGTGTGCTTAGCGTGTGTGAAGTGTGTTAATCATGTTGTTGTTGCGTGTGCTTAGCGTGTGTGAACTGTGTTAATCGTGTTGTTGCGTGTTGTTGTTGCGTGTGCTTAGCGTGTGTGAACTGTGTTAATCGTGTTGTTGCGTGTTGTTGTTGCGTGTGCTTAGCGTGTGTGAAGTGTGTTAATCATGTTGTTGTTGCGTGTGCTTAGCGTGTGTGAAGTGTGTTAATCGTGTTGTTGCGTGTGCTTAGCGTGTGTGAACTGTGTTGATCGTGTTGTTGTTGCGTGTGCTTAGCGTGTGTGAAGTGTGTTAATCGTGTTGTTGCGTGTGCTTAGCGTGTGTGAACTGTGTTAATCGTGTTGTTGCGTGTTGTTGTTGCGTGTTGTTGTTGCGTGTGCTTAGCGTGTGTGAAGTGTGTTAATCGTGCTGTTGTTGCGTGTTGTTGTTGTGTGTGCTTAGCGTGTGTGAACTGTGTTAATCATGCTGTGTGTTGTTGTTGCGTGTGCTTAGCGTGTGTGAAGTGTGTTAATCGTGTTGTTGCGTGTGCTTAGCGTGTGTGAACTGTGTTGATCGTGTTGTTGTTGCGTGTGCTTAGCGTGTGTGAAGTGTGTTAATCGTGTTGTTGCGTGTGCTTAGCGTGTGTGAACTGTGTTAATCGTGTTGTTGCGTGTTGTTGTTGCGTGTTGTTGTTGCGTGTGCTTAGCGTGTGTGAAGTGTGTTAATCGTGCTGTTGTTGCGTGTTGTTGTTGTGTGTGCTTAGCGTGTGTGAACTGTGTTAATCATGCTGTGTGTTGTTGTTGCGTGTGCTTAGCGTGTGTGAAGTGTGTTAATCGTGTTGTTGCGTGTGCTTAGCGTGTGTGAACTGTGTTGATCGTGTTGTTGTTGCGTGTGCTTAGCGTGTGTGAAGTGTGTTAATCGTGTTGTTGCGTGTGCTTAGCGTGTGTGAACTGTGTTAATCGTGTTGTTGCGTGTTGTTGTTGCGTGTTGTTGTTGCGTGTGCTTAGCGTGTGTGAAGTGTGTTAATCGTGCTGTTGTTGCGTGTTGTTGTTGTGTGTGCTTAGCGTGTGTGAACTGTGTTAATCATGCTGTGTGTTGTTGTTGCGTGTGCTTAGCGTGTGTGAAGTGTGTTAATCGTGCTGTTGCGTGTTGTTGTTGTGTGTGCTTAGCGTGTGTGAACTGTGTTAATCATGCTGTGTGTTGTTGTTGCGTGTGCTTAGCGTGTGTGAAGTGTGTTAATCGTGCTGTTGTTGCGTGTTGTTGTTGTGTGTGCTTAGCGTGTGTGATCTGTGTTAATCATGCTGTGTGTTGTTGTTGCGTGTGCTTAGCGTGTGTGAAGTGTGTTAATCATGCTGTGTGTTGTTGCTGCGTGTGCTTAGCGTGTGTGAAGTGTGTTAATCGTGCTGTTGTTGCGTGTTGTTGTTGTGTGTGCTTAGCGTGTGTGAACTGTGTTAATCATGCTGTGTGTTGTTGTTGCGTGTGCTTAGCGTGTGTGAAGTGTGTTAATCGTGCTGTTGCGTGTTGTTGTTGTGTGTGCTTAGCGTGTGTGAACTGTGTTAATCATGCTGTGTGTTGTTGTTGCGTGTGCTTAGCGTGTGTGAAGTGTGTTAATCGTGCTGTTGTTGCGTGTTGTTGTTGTGTGTGCTTAGCGTGTGTGAACTGTGTTAATCATGCTGTGTGTTGTTGTTGCGTGTGCTTAGCGTGTGTGAAGTGTGTTAATCGTGCTGTTGTTGCGTGTTGTTGTTGTGTGTGCTTAGCGTGTGTGAACTGTGTTAATCATGCTGTGTGTTGTTGTTGCGTGTGCTTAGCGTGTGTGAAGTGTGTTAATCATGCTGTGTGTTGTTGTTGCGTGTGCTTAGCGTGTGTGAAGTGTGTTAATCGTGCTGTTGTTGCTTGTTGTTGTTGTGTGTGCTTAGCATGTGTGAACTGTGTTAATCATGCTGTGTGTTGTTGTTGCGTGTGCTTAGCGTGTGTGAAGTGTGTTAATCGTGCTGTTGTTGCATGTTGTTGTTGTGTGTGCTTAGCGTGTGTGAACTGTGTTAATCATGCTGTGTGTTGTTGTTGCGTGTGCTTAGCGTGTGTGAAGTGTGTTAATCGTGCTGTTGTTGCGTGTTGTTGTTGTGTGTGCTTAGCGTGTGTGAACTGTGTTAATCATGCTGTGTGTTGTTGTTGCGTGTGCTTAGCGTGTGTGAACTGTGTTAATCGTGTTGTTGCGTGTTGTTGTTGCGTGTGCTTAGCGTGTGTGAACTGTGTTAATCGTGTTGTTGCGTGTTGTTGTTGCGTGTGCTTAGCGTGTGTGAAGTGTGTTAATCGTGTTGTTGTTGCGTGTGCTCAGCGTGTGTGAACTGTGTTAATCGTGTTGTTGTTGTTGCGTGTGCTTAGCGTGTGTGAACTGTGTTAATCGTGTTGTTGTTGTTGCGTGTGCTTAGCGTGTGTGAAGTGTGTTAATCGTGTTGTTGTTGCGTGTGCTTAGCGTGTGTGAACTGTGGTAATCGTGTTGTTGTTGTTGTTGTTGCGTGTGCTTAGCGTGTGTGAAGTGTGTTAATCGTGTTGTTGTTGTTGTTGTTGTGTGTGCTTAGCGTGTGTGAAGTGTGTTAATCGTGTTGTTGTTGCGTGTGCTTAGCGTGTGTGAACTGTGTTAATCGTGTTGTTGTTGTTGTTGCGTGTGCTTAGCGTGTGTGAAGTGTGTTAATCGTGTTGTTGTTGTTGTTGCGTGTGCTTAGCGTGTGTGAAGTGTGTTAATCGTGTTGTTGTTGCGTGTGCTTAGCGTGTGTGAACTGTGTTAATCGTGTTGTTGTTGCGTGTGCTTAGCGTGTGTGAACTGTGTGCGGTGGTCCAACTCCGGCTCACTGCTTGCGTCTGGAAGTGACGACAAACTCATCATGATCTGGAAACCAGCGACGTGAGTCACTCAACAACATCAACAACAACAACATCAACAACAACACTAACAACATCAACAACAACACTAACTACAACATCAACAACAACATCACTAGCAACAACAACATCAACAACACTAACAACATCAACAACAACACTAACAACATCAACAACAACACTAACTACAACATCAACAACAACATCACTAGCAACAACAACATCAACAACAACATCAATACTACAACAACATCAACAACACTAACAACATCAACAACAACACTAACTACAACATCAACAACAACATCACTAGCAACAACAACATCAACAACAACATCAACAACACTAACAACATCAACAACAACACTAACTACAACATCAACAACAACATCACTAGCAACAACAACATCAACAACAACATCAACAACACTAACAACATCAACAACAACACTAACTACAACAACAACATCAACGCTAACTGCAACATCAACAACAACATCAACTACTAACATCAACACTAACAACATCAACAACAACATCACTAGCAACAACAACATCACTATCAACAACATCAACAACTAACATTAACAACATCAACACTACAACATCAACAACAACAGTAACACTACAACAACATCAACAACATGAACATCACTAACAACATCAACAACAACATCAACAACATCACTAGCAACAACAACATCACTAGCAACATCAACAACTAACATCAACACTACATCAACACTACAACAATATCAACAACATCAACAACATCAACAATACAATAACATCAACAACAACATCAACACTACAACAACATTAACAACAACAACATCACTAGCAACAACAACATCACTAACAACAACATCAACACTACAACAACAACACTAACAACAACAACAACTAACATCAACAACAACATCAACATTAACAACAACATCACTAGAAACAACAACATCAACACTACAATAACATCAACAACAACATCAACACTACAACAACATCAACAACACTAACAACACTACATCAACAACATCACTAACAACATCAACATTAACAACAACATCAACAACATCAACAACAACACTACAACATCAACACTACAATCTAACATCACAGCAACAACAATACGTCATCAACAACAACAATAACACAACACAGTTACATGCCACCATACAACACAGATTCATGTTGTTGTTGTGTTGTTGTGGTGGTGGTGGTGCAGGTTTATGTTGTTGTGGTGGTTCATGTGGTGTTGATGTTGTTGTTGATGTTGTTGTTGTTGATGTTGTTGTTGTGGTGGTGGTGCAGGTTCATGTTGATGTTGTTGATGTTGACGTTGTTGATGTTGTTGTGGTGCAGGTTCATGTTGTTGATGAGGTTGTTGATGTTGTTGTTGATGTTGTTGATGTTGTTGTTGATGTTGTTGATGTTGTTGTTGATGTTGTTGATGTTGTGGTGCAGGTTCATGTTGTGGTTGATGTTGTGGTGCAGGCTCATGTTGTTGATGAGGTTGTTGATGTTGTTGTTGATGTTGTTGATGTTGTGGTGCAGGTTCATGTTGTGGTTGATGTTGTGGTGCAGGCTCATGTTGTTGATGTTGTTGTTGTGGTGGTGCAGGTTCATGTTGTTGTAGTTGTTGTGGTGGTTGTTGTTGTGGTGCATATTGTTGTTGACGTTGATGTTGTTGATGTTGTTGTTGATGTTGTTGTTGATGTTGATGTTGTTGACTTTGTTGTTGTTGATGTTGTTGACTTTGTTGTTGTTGATGTTCTTGACTTTGTTGTTGTTGATGTTGTTGACTTTGTTGTTGATGTTCTTGATGTTGTTGGTGATGTTGTTGATGTTGTTGATGATGATGTTGTTGTGGTGGTGCAGGTTCATGTTGTTGACGTTGTTGACGATGTTGTTGATGTTGTTGTTGTTGTTGATGTTGACGTTGTTGTTGATGATGTCTTTGATGTTGTTGTTGATAATGTTGTTGATGTTGTTGTTGTTGATGTTGACGTTGTTGTTGATGATGTCTTTGATGTTGTTGTTGATAATGTTGTTGATGTTGTTGTTGTTGATGATGTTGATGTTGTTGTTGAGGTGCAGGTTCATGTTGTTGATGTTGTTGTTGTTGATGTTGTTGTTGATGATGTTGATGTTGTTGAGGTGCAGGTTCATGTTGTTGATGTTGTTGTTGTTGATGTTGTTGTTGTGGTGCAGGTTCATGTTGATGTTGTTGTTGATGATTTTGTTGTTGTTGTTGTTGTGGTGCAGGTTCATGTTGTTGTTGATGTTGTTGTTGTGGTACAAGTTCATGTTGTTGATGTTGTTGATGATGTTGATGTTGTTGTTGTGGTGCAGGTTCATGTTGTTGTTGTGGTTGTTGTTGATGTTGTTGATGATGTTGATGTTGATGATGTTGTTGTTGTTGTTGTTGTGGTGGTGGTGCAGGTTCATGTTGATGTTGTTGTTGATGATGTTGATGATGTTGTTGTTGTGGTTGTTGTTGATGTTGTTGATGTTGTTGTTGATGTTGTTGTTGATGTTATTGATGATGTTGATGTTGTTGTGGTGCAGGTTCATGTTGTTGATGTTGTTGATGTTGTTGTTGATGTTGTTGTTGTGGTGGTGGTGCAGGTTCATGTTGATGTTGATGATGTTGTTGATGTTGTTGTTGATGTTGTTGTTGATGATGTTGATGATGCTGTTGTTGTTGTTGTTGTGGTGGTGGTGGTGGTGCAGGTTCATGTTGATGTTGTTAATGATGTTGTTGTTGTTGTGGTGCAGGTTCATGTTGTTGTTGTGCAAGTTCATGTTGTTAATGTTGTTGTTGATGTTGTTGTTGTGGTGGTGGTGCAGGTTCATGTTGATGTTGATGATGTTGTTGTTTATGTTGTTGTTGATGTTATTGATGTTGTTGATGTTGTTGTTGACGTTGTTGTTGATGATGTTGATGATGTTGTTGATGTTGTTGATGTTAATGTTGTTGTTGATGATGTTGTTGTGCAGGTTGATGTTGATGATGATGTTGTTGATGTTGTTGTTGTTGATGATGTTTTTGTTGTGCAGGTTGATGTTGATGATGATGTTGTTGTTGATGTTGTTGTTGTTGATGATGTTGTTGTTGTGCAGGTTGATGTTGATGATGTTGTTGATGTTGTTGTTGATGTTCTTGTTGATGATGTTGTTGTTGTTGACGTTGTTGTTGTTGTTGACGTTGTTGTTGATGTTGTTGTTGTGCAGGTTTAAGTTGTTCATGTTGTTGTTGTTGTTGTGCAGGTTTATGTTGTTGATGTTGTTGTTGATGATGTTGATGTTGTTGATGATGTTGTTGTTGTGGTGCAGGTTTATGTTGTTCATGTTGTTGTTGTTGTTGTTGTGCAGGTTCATGTTGTTCATGTTGTTGTTGTTGTTGATGTTGTTGTTGTTGTTGTTGTGCAGGTTCATGTTGTTGATGTTGATGTTGTTGCGCAGGTTCATGTTGTTGATGATGTTGTTGTGGTGCAAGTTCATGTTGTTGATGTTGTTCATGTTGTTGATGTTGTTGATGTTGTGCAGGTTCATGTTGATGTTGTTCATGTTGTTGATGATGTTGTTGTTGTTGTGCAGGTTCATGTTGTTCATGTTGTTGTTGTTGATGATGTTGATGATGTTGTTGATGTTGTTGTTGTTGTTGATGTTGTTGTTGTTGTTGTTGTTGATGTTGTTGTTGTTGATGTTGTTGATGTTGTTGATGTTGTTGATGATGTAGTTGTTGTTGTTGTTGTTGTGGTGCAGGTTTATCGGCCCCAGTGCTGTGTGTGGTGCTGCCTCGTCGCTGGTCAACGCCACAGAGCAGTGGCGATGTTCCTCCATCCTGCGGGGGCACACAGGAGGTACAGTACAACAACTACAACAACTACTACTACAACTATAACCACAACAAACACAACAAACACAACCACTACCACAACCACTACCACCACTACCACCACTCCTCCATCCTGCGGGGGCACACAGGAGGTACAGTACAACTACTACTAACAACTACAACAACTACCACAGCTATAACCACAACAACTACAACAAACACAACAACCACTACCACAACCACTACCACCACTCCTCCATCCTGCGGGGGCACACAGGAGGTACAGTACAACAACTACAACTACTACTACAACCAATACCACAACAACAACAACTACAACCAATACCACAACAACAACAACTACAACCAATACCACAACAACAACAACCACTACCACTACAACCACTCCTCCATCCTGCGGGGGCACACAGGAGGTACAGTACAACAACTACTAACAACTACAACAACAACTACAACAACAACTACAACCAATACCACAACAACAACAACTACAACCAATACCACAACAACAACAACTACAACCAATACCACAACAACAACAACCACTACCACCACTACAACCACTCCTCCATCCTGCGGGGGCACACAGGAGGTACAGTACAACAACTACAACTACAACAACTACCACAGCTATAACCACAACAACTACAACAAACACAACAACCACTACCACCACTCCTCCATCCTGCGGGGGCACACAGGAGGTACAGTACAACAACTACTAACAACTACAACAACAACTACAACAACAACTACAACAACAACTACAACAACAACTACAACAACAACTACAACCAATACCACAACAACTACAACCAATACCACAACAACAACAACTACAACCAATACCACAACAACAACAACTACAACCAATACCACAACAACAACAACCACTACCACCACTACAACCACTCCTCCATCCTGCGGGGGCACACAGGAGGTACAGTACAACAACTACTAACAACTACAACAACAACTACAACAACAACTACAACAACAACTACAACAACAACTACAACCAATACCACAACAACTACAACCAATACCACAACAACAACAACTACAACCAATACCACAACAACAACAACTACAACCAATACCACAACAACAACAACCACTACCACCACTACAACCACTCCTCCATCCTGCGGGGGCACACAGGAGGTACAGTACAACAACTACTAACAACTACAACAACTACCACAACTATAACCACAACAAACACAACAAACACAACTACTACCACAACCACTACCACCACTACCACCACTACCACAACCACTACCACCACTCCTCCATCCTGCGGGGGCACACAGGAGGTACAGTACAATAACTACTACAACAACTACTAACAACTACAACAACTACCACAACTATAACCACAACAACTACAACAACCACTACAACCACTACCACTACCACCACTCCTCCATCCTGCGGGGGCACACAGGAGGTACAGTACAACAACTACTAACAACTACCACAACAACAACCACAACAAACACAACAACAACTACAACCACCACTACCACCACTACCACCACTACAACCACCACTACCACCACTCCTCCATCCTGCGGGGGCACACAGGAGGTACAGTACAACAACAACAACTACCACAACAAACACAACAACAACAAATACAACAACCACAACAACCACAACAACCACTACCACCACTGCCACCACTCCATCCTGCGGGGGCACACAGGAGGTACAGTACAACAACTACTACAACAACAACCACAACTATAACCACAACAACCACAACAAACACAACAACAACTATAACCACAACAACCACAACTACAACCACCACTACCACCACTACAACAACCACTACAACCACTCCTCCATCCTGCGGGGGCACACAGGAGGTACAGTACAACTACAACTACAACAACCAGCACAACCACAACAACAACCACTACAACAACCACTACCACAACTACCACAACAACAACAACAACCACTACCACCACCACTACCACCACTACAACCACCACTACCACCACTCCTCCATCCTGCGGGGGCACACAGGAGGTACAGTACAACAACTACACCCACAACAACTACCACCACAACAACAACCACTACCACCACAACAACTACAACCACAACAACCATTACCACCAGCACAACAACTACAACAACTACAACAACCACCACACCACCACTATCACCACCACAACTATCACCACCACCACTATCACCACCACCACTACCACCACTACCACTACCACCACAACAACAACAACCACCAACACAACAACTACAACCACCACAGCTACAACCACTACCACCACCACCACTATCACCACCACAACTACAACCACTACCACCACCACCACAACAACTACAACCACCACCACTACTACCACCACCACTATCACTACCACTACCACCACCACTACCACCACCACTACCACCACAACAGCTACAACCACTACTACCACCACAACAACCACAACAACAACACCACCACCAGTACATGTGATGGTGTTGATGGTGATGATGTTGATGGTGATGGTGTTGATGTTGTAGATGTGATGGTGTTGGTGTTGATGTTGTAGATGTGATGTTGATGGTGATGGTGGTGATGGTGTTGATGGTGATGGTGTTGATGCTGTAGACGTGATGATGATGGTGATGTTGTTGATGCTGTAGACGTGATGGTGTTGATGGTGTTGGTGTTGATGTTGTAGATGTGATGGTGTTGATGGTGATGGTGTTGGTGTTGTAGATGTGATGGTGTTGATGGTGATGGTGTTGGTGTTGTAGATGTGATGGTGTTGTAGACGTGATGGTGGTGATGTTGATGTTGTTGTAGACGTGATGGTGATGATGGTGATGGTGTTGATGTTGACGGTGATGATGGTGATGGTGTTGATGCTGTAGATGTGGTGGTGTTGATGGTGATGATGTTGTAGACGTGATGGTGTTGATGGTGATGGTGTTGATGTTGTAGATGTGATGGTGTTGATGGTGATGGTGTTGGTGTTGTAGACGTGATGTTGATGGTGATGGTGTTGATGCTGTAGATGTGATGGTGTTGATGGTGATGGTGTTTATGCTGGATGGTGTTGATGGTGATGGTGTTGATGCTGTAGATGTGATGGTGGTGATGGTGTTGATGTTGTAGACGTGATGTTGATGTTGTTGATGTTGTAGATGTGATGTTGTAGATGTGATGATGGTGATGTTGTTGATATTGTAGACGTGATGTTGATGTTTTATGGTGGTGATGTTGATGTTGATGATGTTGATGTTGTTTTAGATGTTGTTGACGTGATGTTGTTGATGTTGATGATGTTGATGTTGATGGTGATGATGTTGATGGTGATGATGTTGATGATGTTGATGACGTGATGTTGTTGATGTTGATGGTGATGTTGTTGATGTTGATGGTGATGATGTTGATGATTTTGATGTTGTAGACGTGATGTTGTAGATGTGATGGATGTTGTTGTTGATGATGTTGTTGATGTTGTTGTTGATGTTGTTGTTGATGTTGTTGATGTTGTTGTTGATGTTGTTGATGATGTTGTTGATGTTAATATTGTTGATGTTGTTGATGTTGTTGTAGACGTGATGGATGTTGATGTTGTTGATGATGTTGTTGATGTTGATGATGTTAATATTGTTGATGTTGTTGTTGATGTTGTTGTAGACGTGATGGATGTTGATGTTGTTCATGATGTTGTTGATGTTGATGATGATGTTGTTGTTGTTGTTGATGTTGTAGACGTGATGGATGTTGATGTTGTTGTTGATGTTGTTGTTGATGTTGTAGACGTGATGTTGATGATGTTGATGTTGATGATGTTGTAGACGTGATGGATGTTGTTGTTGTTGTTGTAGACGTGATGGATGTTGATGTTGTTGATGTTGTTGTTGATGTTGATGTTGTAGACGTGATGGATGTTGATGTTGTTGATGATGTTGTTGTTGTGGTTGATGTTGTTGTTGATGTTGTTGATGATGTTGTTGTTGTTGTTGTTGATGTTGTTGATGTTGTTGTTGATGTTGTAGACGTGATGGATGTTGATGTTGTTGTTGATGTTGTTGTTGATGTTGTAGACGTGATGGATGTTGTTGTT